CTTTTTCCTTGTTACTAGTCTATGTTCTTTGGTGCATTATTTAATTAAATGCATTACTATTAGTACTATAAAAAGTTAGGGTTAACTCTCTTCGAAACCCGACGGCAAGAAAAAAGAAGGTTAGTTAAGTAATTTATTTCTTGTTTTTCATATTTATTATTTATTTATTATTAATATAAAAATACGGTTCTTTTTATGTTATTTAAGACTAGATTAGGTAAAATAAGTAATAATAATAATATAATTAAAATGGTTCACGAGGCATACATGCAAGCAGCTCGTGGGTAATGTAATTCGATAGCGTAACATGAGCTGCACATTCCCCGAGTGATTTACATCTTATAATGGCACGGATGGTAGTTAGACACGGTTCAAATGGCAATAAAACAATAAAAGTTAATTATAAATAAATGTATAATGTTACGAACTTAGAGCTACTTAGCATAAATGAATGTAGTTTTAGGTTATAATTTGAAGTCATTCTAGAAAGAAAAGAATGTTAATTTAGGTTTATTTAGATTTTTTTTGGTGGTTGGTCAAATTGGCCAATCCCATTTTGAGATAGGGTAGAGACAATAACAGATAAACTATAAAGTTTTACTGAAAAAAAACCTTTGAAATTCATTTAGGAGGTTTTAGGGATTACACAAAGGAAATTTGAGATTTTTGAGATGAGGAAATGTATTTTTAATTTTAAGATGAAAATTACTTTGCACACGGACTATTCAAAACAAATACCCAATATATTCATGGACAAATCTTTATTTAATTTTATCAAAAATACTTCACTAAGAAATATGACTTTTTGAATGTGAAAGACTTGTAATATGAACTGAAAGAGTGCCAAATTTTGTGAAGATATACCCAATATATTGAGAGTTATAAAGACTTTAAATGAGTTCAAAAAGGTCACGTGGTTGGTCAAATTGACCGAGCCCATGTTGAGAAAGTTAAGGAATGCTGGATTTAGTCAGTCTGATATATGGACTTAGATTCACCAGTAGTAGTTAGAAGATCCAGTATAAACAAGCATCTCCTGCCAATAAATAAGTACATCCATTGTATTTGTGTTTTACATGTGATTTAATAAAGATTGTTCATTTCATGTTTCACTTAGTGTTCAAGTCTCTTTATTTCATCCATTTTAATAACTGAGATATAGCATTACTTCATAATTAGTTTATTTACCACATCTCCTGTTATTAAGCAGAACTAGCACATTGTGCTAGAGTTAATTCAGTTTTATTGGGTTTACCATAATCTTACAGTTGTTTTAAGAAAGAAATTACCCATACCCATTTCATATTTAAGGAGACACCGCTAAATGTAATGTTTGAATGTTTTAAAATAAGAGTTCCTTATGGGTGACAATTAAGAACAAGCTCAATAAAATTGTTGTTGTCGAGTTTTGGAACATAATGCAGTTTAATTAGTAATCAGAAAATAAATATTAAACAATATAATAGCTTTAGGTTTTTCTAAAATAAACTAACCAAGAACACTGCTTCATAAGTTTAATACTTACACAAATGTCAATATATCAGTTCCTTTATATGGCTACAAGAAAAAAAAGGTATTTCCTTGTGGTGGATACAGCACAAATAGGCAGCCCCCCCGTGCAGCTTTGTGCTTAAAGCAAAACAAAGCTGGTGCTTAATTTGTAACAGAATGACAAGCATCCTTTCAGGGAAAAATATAAACCTTAAGTTAATATTTCACTTTGAAATATATCCTAAGTATTTCAAAGGAATGCATAACATGAGTTTACATCAATTTAACATGAAAAATATTTTCATATTAAATCAATTTTGTTATATAACAAAATGGGAGATTACTATTCTTGTATTATAAAACTCTGTTTTACTGATCAAAGAATATTTCTTAGGTATTTCTTTAGAATTGAATATTTTATGGTTACAATTAATGTAAAAACATTCAAATCTTCATACTTACAGCATAATTTGGAGCTATTAATCGATGTTGAAGTTTCTTCGCTTTTGTCATGTTTCCATTACAGTATAGTTCAAATAGTTCACATGTTGGACCACCAAGAGCATCTGCTAAAGCTAGAACTCCTCCAACACATCCTTAAAAATATTTTGTTTATATTTTACTTTCTTAATCATATACTTCTGTGCATATTTTAAAAAAAGTTCTCTTCTCTAAGTAACCTTTATGGAAAAAAGCATATATTTGTAATCTTGCACCTACTCTCAATGTTTAGGCAAGATTAAGTTTATGAATTCAAATAATATAAAACAAATAATTTTCTCATACCATGATTATTAGAATATACATATAAGTATATATATATATATATATGTACGAGTGTGTATTTGTCTATACATACATCAAATACAATAGTTCTACATGCTTCAGTGAAATGCATAATATGATTGAAAATTCCAAGTGTTTTTAACTGGTATTTTATGCAAGCATCAATCTTAAGGTATATAAAGAAAAAATGTGGTTAGATAATTGTCCAGAAGAATCCAGAACAATTTTTTCTTTGTTTTTCAAGAACAATTAGAAGTAAAACAGTATCTTATTACTTGAATAAACAACATATGAAGAAAAAAATCTCTCACCTTTTTCTTTTTTGGATACAAAAGTCATTAACCCATTTTCTGGGTTATTCTTACATTTTAAGAGCTTTATTCCAGTACTCACATCTAAAATCTTAATTTCTTCAAGATTCTGTACTTGTACAATCGAAGTCCACATCAACACTTAGCCCTAATTCAAAGTAATGATAATGTGGTCTCAGAAACTATTTTTAAACTCAAAAAGATAATTTCTGAGACCACATTATCCAATTTTGAATATGAAATACTTCCATGCATATAAAGTAGAATGTCCTAACACTAATAGAGTCTGTGGCTTTCTAAGATAGAGACATGGCTTAAAATCGTTTCTGTTTTTGGTCAAGCAGAGCTCCAACAGTGGAGTGGCAAACACAGATAATGATACCAAAATGATCAATTCGGGTTAAGTCCAAGGCTTTTAAACTCCACAACTGTCACTTAAATGAAATCTTTGCTTTCTTTTGTTTGTTTGTTAAGTACAAAGCTACACAATGGACAATCAGTATTGTACTCCCCCCCCCCACGTTATTTATACCCCAATATTTTTTGCATCATTGCAGAAAAATGTGGTGATAATATGACCACCCTCCACCAATCCCATTCCACCCTCTATACTAGTGCAGGTAGCTCCCTCTACCCTTGCAGCACAATCCTCACTTTCTCGATTGGCAATTCTCGTGTACGGACATGTGTTTTACATTTTTCATGTGACTGCACAATTTTTCATTGTGTTTGATCACCAATTAATATCAGTTTCAAGTTCAAGTTTCTATTCATTTGTTTTTGAAATGTTTCTGTTTCCTGAATTCTACTTTATTTGCATGAATTCAGGTTTCTTATGGCATTTGATAAATTTCCTTCTATTAAGTAGACAGTGGTTATGATGCTAGGCCTCAGTCTCAGGGTTCACGATTTCTGCTGAGGAAGCACAGACTTTCATTCGTGGCAAGTCCATGTCTCACATTTGGCCGGCTACTTTTTTTTTTCCTCCACGATAGGTATTGTTCTTTTTTCCAGGTGATCTGTGGTAACTTTTTCAGTATGTATTTCTTACTCTCTATAGATATACCCATGTTCAATGAGTTGTTTGTTCATCTGGTTTTTTGTTCAGGGTTTGTGTTTTAACTGTTGCTCTTTATAGAGTTGCCTTGTCGAACTCCCATTTTTCTCTCTTCCAGAAATTTTCTCTTCCCCGGGTTGTTCCATTTCTTTTATCTGGTACATCCGACACATTTCCTTTCTTCTGCTGGATTGGAATCTCCATGTCATTCTTCCTATCCTGTCTGGTTCTCCTTTGAGCCATTTGTAATTTGTTCCTTGTAAAACCTTCTTACGACCTCAATCCTCCCTCTCCTGGCATGCAATCTCCATCGTTCCAATTTTTACGATATCCTTTATCCTTTCCCAAATATTTCTTGTTATACAGGTCTGGCATTTCTTCCCTGGCTGACTGGGTAGGTTGTTTTGCCTTTTCTCCTCTTTCCTTTCCTTCCTTTTTCCACTTGTATTCACATTCATTTCTAGATCATCTTCTTTGTTCTGTTAATTTCCCACTCTGTTGTTTGCCTTGTACTGTCTTCTTTTGTTGTTTTCGTTCCTGTCTCATTGTTCCATGGCATTCCTGTTCCCCCTATCTTTCGCCTATTACGCTCATGCTTTACAAACATATGCAAGGCACTTCCATGTTGTTTTTGTCCTTGAACCACACTTGGCATAATATGTCGTATCACAAGGTGCTCCCCCTGGATGTGTTCTGCCTAAGTGGACTGCACTTAGCCTATTCATATATGGTCCTCTAGCCTTAGTCACATATTCTGTTTGTTTCCACCCTATGTGTCTTATCTTCTTTACTGGGTGAAGAGCATACCTGTACTAGAAGTAGTGCTATACCCCACAGGTGTGACTCATATTTTAATTGTGGCACACCTGCTTTGTTTTATAACAGTCACTCTCCACTTGATTATTTGTTTTTGTGCCTTAACTGGCCCCTCCACCTTTCCAATGTGGAATTATCACTATGGGGGAATGGAGGTGATACCGTTTCGGAAGTTAACATTTTCTAACACTGAAAATGTATTTCCAACAGGTACTTACCTCTTCCCACCCTTCCTTTCTTCTGCCGGATTGGAATCTCCATGTCGTTCTTCCTATCCTATCTGGTTCTCCGCATGGACCGCAAGCTATATATATACTTATGAGTGGATTCCAACCTGTAGCTATAGAGTGATCTGTTCCAAGCCACTGGAATCACGACGAGAAAGTAAGCAACACCGAAGTGGACAAACCTTGTCCTCCACCTGAAGAAGTCTGAAAGGCAACACCCCAGGCTCGGTATGACAGGATCATGTATGCCTTATTTAACCTGAAGAAACAAAACTCTTCCGATCTGGAATTATGAACACTGATCCTCACTCCCCAACCTTTTGGGAAAGGTAAATTCCACTTGCTCCCAGAATTATGGGAGGATGTAGAACAACTGTGCTGAGTATCTGCGAGAGATGGAAACACTGCAGGTTGGGTGGATAATAGTGGTGAAGATGCGAACTGAATGACTGATCCTGACCCAAGGACCTGTAGTGTCCCCCCCAAAAAAATTTGCAACTGCTTATAAAATATCAAAGAATATGGTTAGGCAGTTATGTTTCTAACTTATAAAACAGTGTAAAAAATTGTAAGTTTACACTATCTAATACTTAATTGCCAGAGAGTTGGTAGTGGGTGTTACAGCCAATTGCCTTCCCTCTAATCAGCAGTTCAAAATTAGTGACAATGGCAGATAGCCTTAGTAGCTTTCCAATAACAAAGACAGAAATAGTATACTTAGTGGCAATGGGGATCATCACCAAACCCCCAAATCATGAAGCACCCCTCCTATTACATAGGTTTGTTATTAGCAACAAATAAGCATAATGGCAAAATTCAAATACCTGGATATTTGAAATAACTGAAAACCCTAATTTCGATTAGTTGATTATTTTTGTTACCTTATTCAGTTAATTTATGGGACACTAATTAATGTAACTGCTTCTTGAAGGTAATTGATAATATCAATTAATCAATTAAATCACCCAACTCTAGCCATGTGTGTGTAATTTTAACAACAGAAAGTTGGTCAGAGAATGAGATCAAGTTCATTTAACTCTGGGTATTTCTTGTTTTCTGTCATTCCCCAACAACATCACATGTGCTTTCTCTTTGGAAAGACTGATTTATAGTAGAATATGCTATATAAAAGGAAGACAGCAATCTTTTCCACTAGCAGGTCAGGTGTTTCAAATAGCAAACTGATCTACAGTTTTCCACTGAAGCACTTCCATTTGTTAGTGCACTCGTAAATTTATGTTTTGAGAAATACAGATCTATTTTAACTTTGTTATTTGGAATTCAATATCTTTCTTGTTTGATCTCGGTCAAAGTCAAAATTCAAATTTACTCTGCAATACACTCTATGAATGAACCTCGTGTTACATGTGAGAACTACCTAAGAGATGTGTTTAAGAATACCACATCTTTAAAAGAGGCAATGTGTGTCTGCATGACAATCTCTTGGCAGTTTTTAATCAAACTGAAATAGACTTACCCATAGTTAAAGCTGGCAACAAAAATCCTGCAGATCCTGCAAGAACTTGAAAATCTTGTTCTGAAGTTTTATGAACCAATAAACTAAGTTTTGCAATCTGAAAATACACAAAACAGTAATGCAAAATAATTTCTTTCTCTACTAAGAGCTGGTTGTGTTTTCAGTTCAAAATTATCTGGTATAGTTCCATACAACTTATTTATACAACTGTAAAGCACCGTACAAGCACCAACTTAAAACAAAAAACCTAGCAAAAGGAGAATGCTATAATAACATAAATGTCAAAGTATGAGCTTATTAATTTAAATTAAAGCACTTCTATGTAGATGTCAAGGTGGTCAGTTTCTCTTCAAATTTGTATGTTGGTTTCAATGAACACTTACATTGATTTTGTGGGATTACAGACCAAACAACTAACTGGGAAGATAACTGTTACAAACTGAGTTTGCTTGCATGAGAGGTGATATAATTTCAGGCTTTCTTCTTATTTTTTTTAATTCAGTTTTTTGGGAATTTTTTAGTGTTTCTAAAAAGTTTTAAAAGAAATTTCAAAGACTTGGCTTTAAAACAGTTCAAAGTTAGCTATTTTAAGGGATTTTTTACGTTTATTTATTAACGTTTATTTCAAGTAAATTTTCATAACTTTAATGTAGAACTCTGACAAGATTCAAATATCATGAAAGAATACATAAATCTGAAGATCAGTTATCACTTGTTAAGCTGTCAGAATCAGGGGCCCTGAAAAAATTCTCAGTTCAGTTTTTTCGAAAAATGTTCTTAGTTTTTTTTTGCAATTGTTGGTCAGATTTTTTCACCAGAAAAAGCTTGCACTGATGTACCTTAAGTTCAATTTTCTTTTATTTTTAGAATTCAGTTCTTTTCAGTTTTCCAAAGTTTAGTTTAATAAAACTTCCTTAAACTTTAGGAAAAACTTTTTTGAGTGAACAACTTTGAATATCACTTCTTTTACCTAATTAAAATCACTATTGTGAAATTTAAAGAAGAAAATGTTTAAAGTCAGAGTACCAGACACACATAATTCTGATTGTATTTGGATATGACAGTGAAAGAGTTTGTTTTCTTGTTTAGACATGGTTGGTGCAACTGTTAATATTTTTACTGCTTATATGTATCTGATTACTAAAACTAAAGAATGATCAATGAAGTGAACTTGTATCTTCAGAAAATGTTTTCAGTGAAGCTGGATAGATAATGTAAAAACTTGAAACACTGTGTGTGTGTGTGTGTGATGAATACTAATTATGAAAGTTATTTATCCAGTTCCATTTTGGCTTACTAGTTTATTTGCATATTATCATGTAGGTCAATAATTATACCTTGTTTTAGTTTTCTACATAAATGTGGGATTATTTGAAAAATACCATTATATATATTAAATTAAGTCCAAACAAATACTCACCTCTAACATAACTATTAGTTACTTTCTCAACTACTCACCAAGATATAGAGTTTTAGTTGATATAGTTGATCTGATTCCTTCCTCTACTGACTGATAGACATTTGCATTAACCACAAACTCATTCCCATAACAACTCATGTTATTAGTGATATATATTGACACCACTGCATTAAAATGGTTAGTGTTTCTGGTCTGCTCACTTTTATTTCTAGTTTTTTAATATTTGTCTCAACTTTTCTTTAACTGACATTCCTATGATTATGGGATTTTTTTTTTCATGCTCATAAATATTCACAGGTAAAACTGAAACCTAGAAATAAACTAAAATACAATGCAACAAGAGATTAAAAGTACACCCTTGCAAGAATAATTAAGTGAAAACCTGACAAGAGAATAAATGAAATTGTACACAATCTTTACCAACAATAACAACTATATTCCCTAAACATAATAGACACTACAGTGGTCCTACTTATACATTTCCATCTCCCTGCACAAATTAATTGGCTAATGGAGAAAGAATATTTAGACAGTGCTGGAAAAATGTTAATTCTATCTTGTTAACTTTGTCTTTGTTTCTTTACAGCTTGGTTTACAGTTACATTATATTTCTGGGATTCACTCGAGGTAAATCTTGATTTAATTATATGCTGACTGTATTTTTTAGGATGACTTTCAATCTGGGTGATAGGAAAGGTGTGGATTTGGTGTACTTAGATCTTCAAATAGATAATAAAATCATACTAGTGGAGGTTTACAAAAGACTAGTAGATTTGATTGTAGGATGGCTAGGCAACAGAAAGAAAGTGGTTATTTAAAGATTCCATAAACTGGACCCTTATTACTGGTGTGCCTCAAGGGTCAGTACTTGGACATTTGTGTTTCCTCATTTATATTAATGACAGCGCTATGAGCATAATTATTAAATTAGTGCAGTCTGTTGATATGAAAATTTTGAGCATTTCTAACTTTACTAAGGATGTTTAGGTATTATAGAATGGTTTGGATCAATTGGCAAGTTGGACAAATATTTGACAAATGACATATAACTATAGTAAGTAAAAGGTAATACATTTGGGCCATCATAATTTGTAAAAAGTGCACCAAACATACTCTGCCAGTCTCACATTATGATAGATTACTGCAAAATCAGGAGGAGCAAATACTGCCTTGAAAAACTATCTGAATTTTATGACATCCTACTTTTTCAAGAAACTGAACTCACAGAGCCTAAGGAGTTCACTCTCACTGTCTTTAACAATATACCACATGCTGATCCAGAGGCTGGGATGTTACTTTTATGACAGCTCAAAGGGGAACAATCACCATTACAAGTTGCAAGCCATATCTCACCTGAAGTTACCCACACGAACTCGAATGATCAATGTACAGCACATCAGGGTGAAGACTGGGGGTTCCTCCCTGAACTATATGACAACACTCCTATATACCTGTCAAGCTTTCTGGAAGTACTTGTTCTTTCACAAACCTCTCCAAAAAAGTTAGTTCAACAATTTTCGGAAAAGTAAAACCCCATACCAGTGGAATAGTGATACTGATATATTCAGGAAAGCACACAATCAAAGCTCAGATCAGATCAGCTGAGTTCATGTGGATAAGACATGATCCAGCATGGGGCAGAGAAGGCAAAGACTGTGTGGAATAAATCCTGTACTCTCTACAGGCAATTGTCTTCCAAAGTATGTGACACAATATGGAATGAGCAATTCGGGAAGGCCAATCTCACAAATACTTCCTATGACTTGAATGGTGATATCAGTCACTTACGTTGGTTACTTTATTATACTTCACTTTGTATAGATGAAGACCAAGGCATGCAGGAAAGTCTCAAGCTAAGGAATCCCTATCTTAACTACACCTAAATGCTGATATGTAAGCCATATTTATCATGAACAAAATACACAGAACCATACATATATCTAAAGATTGAGCTCCAAGCCCAAACTGTATAAAAAATCTCTATCGTTAAGAACCTTATCAAAGCCTACCTGTTAAAATTAGTGCTGAAGTAGCAACATAGCTGGGCAAACAGATAACATGGCTGAAATATGGAGTGACGGCCTTTATCAAATCCACATCCAAACTCGTAAAGGATCATTCTCTTTTTAAAAAGTCATCAAATCATCATCCTACAAAATATCATTGGCAAGATCTCAGAAAAGGCTTGCCTATCATACTGAACCAATACTACCATCATTATTAGGTGGATACTGCAGTGAAGAGAAACCTATATCAGCACTGCTGAATTTACAGCTGATATATGGGAATGGTTTGAAACCAGTCAGAACAACTTAGCAGTAGCTTTAGATGTAGAAAAACCAGTCAGAACAACTTATCAATAGCTTCAGATGTAGAAAAACCTGTCACAACAACTTATCAATAGCTTTAGATGTAGAAAAACCAGTCAGAACAACTTATCAATAGCTTCAGATGTAGAAAAACCAGTCAGAACAACTTAGCAGTGGCTTTAGATGTAGAAGATGCCTACAGTTGAGTCCAGTGGCCCATCGTTGCTGACTAAATGCAGCAGTGTAACATGTGTAAGATGGGTTATAGCCACATTAACTGTATGGGAACGGTTTGAAACCAGTCAGAACAACTTAGCAGTGGCTTTAGATGTAGAAGATGCCTACAGTTAAGTCCAGCTGCTCATCGTTGCTGACAAAATGCATCAGTGTAACATGTTTAAGATGGGTTATAGCCACATTAACTACCAAAAGATGCTTCATAAAATATGGAAGTTGATATTCAAACTGGATAACCATCAACACTGGTCTGCCTCAAGGATCACCAATCTTGCCAGTCCTCTTCAACATCTACACCATGGTGTCTCAAGGATCACCAATCTTGCCACTCCTCTTCAACATCTACACCATGGTGCCTCAAGGACCACAAATCTTGCCAGTCCTCTTCAACATCTACACCATGGTCCTCAAGGATCACCAATCTTACCAGTCCTCTTCAACATCTACACCATGGATCTATTTCACCTTGATAGTACAACCAGATGCCATCTACTAACTTCTGATTATAACAGAGGCTCTAGTAATGCTGAAAGCGAAAGAAAGGTGCAACCATCCCTCAGCAGGGTGATAAAATAGTGGAAGGACACTGGAATAGTAGTCAATTCTACCAAAGCTACATCCATGTTCTGCACACTCAACAACAAACATGCTGATGAGGATAAACCATCATCATGTTCCGCACACACTGTAACCCCTCTGAAAGAAGGAATGAAGTAACTGGAAGCTAACCTTTTACAAACAACTTAACTTCACCAGCCATTTAACAACAGCTATCAAAAGGATGAATGCTGTGAAAGTTACAGCAGAAAACAGAGCTGAAAATTTTCACCTTCTTAAACAACATATATTTTATTGTTTTGTTATTCATTTAAAAATAGCTAAAAATAAACATGTCATAGCTGTTTATCTCTGATGTTAAGCCAATCTACTATCTACAGTTGCACTGTTGGTGACATTTAATGAACTTTCATTGGTCACTAGATGTTATGGAGGATTATATAAAGTTTTTGCATATAATGGTTAACACTTTTCAAGGGCCAAAAACCAATAACAATGTATGAAGCAAATAACTAGTTTTTATGTTTCTTAAGGTATATTTCATACTTTCCTTAATTTTGAATTCAGAGACTA